ACTTTCCCACATTCTTTAATACCAGTAAGATTTCTCCTCAATGTGAATTCAGATGTAATAAGTGAGGTGTGATTACTTTTTCTAAAGGATTTTCTGCATTCCTTACGTTCAAAGAGTTTTTCTTCAATGTTTTTTTAAATGTTTAGTTAGCAAATAAAATCTATTGTAGGCTTTCCCACACTCTGTACATTTGTAAGGTTTCTCTCCAGTGTGAATTATAACATGTTTCTGTAGGTGTGAAGAAGCACGGAAGGTTTTGCCACATTCCTTACATATATATGGTTTCTCTCCAGTGTGTGTTCTTATATGTTCAATAAGTTGTGAAGATGTAGCGAAGGATTTCCCACATTCCTTACATTCATAGGGCTTCTCACCAGTGTGAGTTTTTATGTGATTATGTAGGCTTGAGGAAACAGTAAAGGCTTTCCCACAGTCCTTACACTTATAAGGTTTGATTCCAGTGTGAATTCGAACATGATTCTTAAGGCATGAGGAACTTCTAAAGGATTTTCCACACACCTTACATTCAAAGGGCTTCTCTTCTGTGTGAGTTTTAAAATGTTCAGTTAGTAGGTAAAGCCTATTGTATGCTTTCCCACATTCATTACATTCATAGGGCTTCTCTCCAGTGTGTGTTCGTACATGTTTAGTAAGGCCTGATCGCCCAGTAAAGGCTCTTCCACATTCCTTACATTCATAGGGTTTCTCTCCAGTATGAATTCTTATGTGTTCAACTAGGTGTGAGGAACCAGTGAAACATTTTCCACATTCCTTACATTCATAGCGTTTCTCCCCAGTATGGGTTCGCATGTGACTATTAAGGTATGAAATGCATCTAAAGAATCTTCCACATTCCTTACATTCGTAGGGTTTTTGTACAGTGCACATTTGAAGAGACACAGCATGGCTTGTGGAGTAAGTAAAAGCTCCCTCACATGGCTCTTGCTCATAGAGTTTTTCTCCATCAGGCACAATCCCACGTACCTGAAGGTATGGTTGATTAACAAAAGCTTGCTCAAAGTCATTGCATTCAAAGGATTTGTCTTCCAAACACATTCCCTGGTGAACAACATCATCTGGTGGAAGGCTGAAGGCTTTTCTACACTGTGTACTCAACACAGAAAGTTTCTCTCCAGCAGTGGTTTTCTTGCACAAAGGAAAGTCTTCTCCATTCTGATTAAAGTCGTAAGCGTTTCTTGTATTTTGAGTTACCATGTGTGTCTGAAGGCATGAGTGTTCATGGAAGATTTCTCCAGGTTGCTTATAGTCACAGAGTTCCCCTCCATTGTGGTTTTCTGCCTGTTGAAGAGATGAATGATGATTAATTGATTTTTCACATTTAATAGATCCCATCCATCTGCAATCAAACACATTATAATGATTATGATGAATTTTGTCATTTTCACTACATGCATATAGTTCCTACCCTGGGGGTTTCTTACATATTGAATGAAGAAACCCTATTTCAAGAGTCTTGTGCCATCTCTAACCTCGAAAAAATTCCTGAATAGTTTTGTAAAATTGTTTTCAAAATCTCATTACCTAGTTACACATGTGGTAATCTGTACTTGTACAGAGTTTCAAGATAGGCTTAGGCTATCCCCTTACTCACCATATTTAGAGTATCCCTCTATAGCCATTCTTCCTGCTTCAATTATCGGACATTTGTGCTGATTACCTACAATGGAATTCCCAATGTTTTTTTGAGTGTGGTAAATAAGGAATCTTCCTTATTAATCTTACCATTTGTATGCAATTTGATGTTTTAACCAAAAAATATCCTGCTGAAGTGCAGACACTTTGTGGTTTAAGTTGCCATTCTAAAGATAAAAAAATAAATAAATAAATAAAGGTTTACAGAATAAAATGGTAGGTTAAATAAGCTAAAAATTGTAAAGGTAATTTGTATTTTTCATATTAAACACACTAAAAATATTAAGCAAACACAGATTGGAGCAGTTTCCCTATGTCTATGTCTATATGTGCATCATAGGAGTCAAAATTTATTAATTTTTAAAGCATTTATCTATGGAACTTTTACAATGGTGAATAGATAGTATTACCAAGAAAAGAAAGCTGAAACAATCTTAATAATCATATATTAAAATCATGAACTAAAAGAAAAAAAAGAACAGATCATTTGTGAAATCATAGCATAGTGTGAGATAAATCAAAAATTACGGGGGATAAACTGAATATAGCATAAAACTTCTGAATCCAATGGCTTCATGGTCTGTGACAAAGAACACCTTAAGAAAGTTTTGATCATTATACTTCTAAACATACTGAACTTCTTATTGCCCAGGAATGATCTCCACAAACACTTACTTGGATCTCTCTTCTTGGCAATGTACTCAATTCCTCTTCCTCTAACCAAGAGATCAGACTAGGCTTTAACAGCTGATATCCTGTACAAAGAGAAAAAGAGATCTTCATTTTCTTTTTCTTTTTGAGACAGAGCCTTAAGCTATAGCTCTGGGTAGAATGCTGGTGGTGTCACAGCTCACAATAACCTCAAACTCCTGGTCTTAAGTGGTTCTCTTGCCTCAGCCTCCCAAGTAGCTGGGTCTACAGGCACCCACCACAACACCCGGCTATTTTTTCTTTGTAGTGGTCATTGTTTGGCAGGCCTGGGCCAGATTCAAACTTGCCAGCTCTGGTGTATATGGCTGGCGCCTTAGCCGCTTGAGCTACAGGCACTACCTGAGGTCTTCATTTTCTTAAAAAAGAAACTACTATACCTGTGGTTCTCAACTTAGGAGTGAATCAGATTTATCCAGAGGTCTTGTTAAAACACAGACAACATGGCTCGGCACCCCATAGCACAGTGGTTGTGGCGCTGGCCACACACATCAAGGCCAGCAGGTTCAAACCTGGCCAGAGCCAGCTGAACAACAATGACAACTGCAACAGGAACAACAACAACAAAAATAGCCGGGCATTATGGTAGGAGCCTGTAGTCCCAGCTACTCAGGAGGCTGAGGTAAGGGAATCACTTAAGCCCAAGAGTTTAAAGTTGCTGTGAGCTGTGATGCCACAGCACTCTACCAAGGGTGACA